AGCAGTGGGCGGGTCAGGAGAGGTCTGCCACGCCATGTGGTCACCTCCGGGGCAGGCGGGAATTGAACTCATGCAGAAATGGCTTTAGATTCTCAGTGCTGTGCTTTAACCCGCTGCGCCACCAGGGAGGGCCTCAGTGTCTTTTTTATAAGATGGAAATAGACAGTGCTCACTGTTCAGGACAATGAGCAAAGAGCTTAGTGTCTGGCACATCAATTTCCTTCCTCTCTCCATCTGTCCTCCCTGTTACACAGTGTTAGCCAGTCTTCTTTTCCTCCTTCCTTACTCACTTCCTTTTTGTTTCTTTTGTGAAGCCTGTGGTGGACCCATCAGACTAGAAGGGACCTTAACAAGTGATGTTCTAGGCCAGTTTCATCATATAATGCTCAAGGGAACTGAGGCTCAGAGAGGTCAAGGTACCATCTCAGGACACACAGCAAGTTAGTAACAGATTCAGAAATAAGACAGATTTCTGACTATCCTCTTCCGTACTCTATCAACAGTTAATGCTTCCAAGGCTCCGAGGGTGAGCAGTGCACAGACCAGTTATCCTTACTCTCTGACTACTCCCCCACAGCCTCATATTCCTGAAGCCCAACCTGGAGACACTGGACTTCTTTGACCTGCTGTGGATTGTGGGCATTGCGGACTTTGTGGTGAAGTACATCACCATTGCTCTCAAGTGCCTTGTGGTGGCCCTGCCCAAGATCATCCTGGCTGTCAAGTCCAAGGTAGGCACTGGCTGTGGCCTCCAGGTAAACCCAGTCACGTTGATCATGATCAGCTACCTTCTGGTGGAGGAAGGAGTGGCTGTGAGCAAAACTGTTGTCAGTGTGTAAAATAAAAAACTTGAGGTAGGAAATATGTCACCCACCTCTTAGAATTCCTTAAAGCTGAGCATGCTTGTCTTGTCACCACCTTCCTGTGACATCTCTGCTCTCCAATTGTATTTCCTGTTTCATTGTTCAAAGTTGTCCCTGATGTGGTATTCACCAGAGAGAAGAGAAAAGCATATTGATATGTCCTGGGTCCTGCTTCCCCCAGGAAAGCATGTCTCTCATAGGTTTTGACTCTTTGTGGTTTGGGGAGCATGTTTTGTAAAAAGTATTGAGTTTTGAAAGGGGAGAATTCTGTCAACGATCAGTGATGTCTGCTGTGGACCAGGAAAGGAAGTGGTGGTAAGTATGCTTTGCATTATACCCTAGGGAAAGGCCTACAGGAAGGTGTTGGGTTAAGCATTCTTGGGGGCTAACTACTGGAGTTCAGAGCACAGGAAGAGACATCAACTTTAGGGTGTAATTATTGCCAGTGCCTCTGTGAGAAGCAAGGAATCTGGACAAAAACAGATGGACTAAAGAATCTGAAGGACACGGTCCGTTCTGTAGAGCCGTCCTTACAACTTAAGAAAGTTGAGGATTTGTCCAGGCGTTGGTTGACAGATCTAGAGCGTCTTATAAAACCCAAAAAAACCCTCACTTAACCAGCTTATTATATAATAAAGGATATGAGAGAGGATAGAGATGCACAGCCAGAAGCAGAGTACCCTGTAGAATTGGGGTACATCACCCTCCAGTTGTAAATGCGCTCACCAACTGAGAAGCTCTCCAAACCCCATGTGATTGGGATGTTACGGGAGCTCTTTCACATCATCATGGTTGAGAATCAACTCCATTTCTAACCATCTCTGCTCTCTGGAGTCCTGACCAAGGACTGTTTATACAAGCTTCGTATTCTAGGGCTCTCTAGGAACCTCAGGGAGAAGTTTCTGAGTGGTCTCCCCTGGAAGTACCTGCTCAGACCTCACTCCATTGGCGGAGACGAGCAATAAGCCCGGGGGGCGGGGGGCAGGAGTTACATGCCCAGTGTTCATGTGCCTCCACCAGGAATAGCTTACAGCCATCAGCTGCCTGGTCCAGTGGGCCAGCTCCTGCTAGCGGACTCCGATCCCAACCAACACAGACACAGGCCATGCCAGACTCTCAAGCAGTAAGAATCCCTTCTCCTGCCCAGCTGGCACCATGCCCTGTCAGCCCAGGCTGGGGAGGTGCTGGGGCTGAAGCCAGCATGGGGATATGGCAGAGGCCCCCACTCTGAGTGCATGTAGACTATGGGATCTCAGCTCTTCACAGGGGCAGGAGAGGCAGAACCTTTATTGGAGTACACGATGGCTGGTGCTAAATGATCCTTGGGAACAGATGGTCAGCCATGAAGTACTTTCTGCCTGTTCTCGCTAGGACCAGAAATAACAAGTGTGACAGCAAATGCTTGTAGGGCATTTACCATGTGCTAACTATGGTTCTACATCCTCTATATGCATTAACTCATTAACTCGTCCCCATGGACGAGTTAGTCCTGCCATCCCATTTTCAAAGATGTGGAAGTGAAAACACAGAGAGTTTCAATGAGTTGACAAGGCCACACAGCTACAGGTTGACAAGTTGCCACCAAGCAGGCAGTCAGGCCCTGGACTCTAAGCCTTTGCTTCTTGCTGTGATTGGAAGGGAGCTCCTCCACTTACCACAAGGAGGGCATTGAACGTGCTCACTTCTGTAAGTAGACACACAACTGAGAAGCAGACAGGGAGAACCAGGCCTCCTTGTGGCCGCCCCAGCTGTAATTGCCGCTCATGGTCTGTCACCTGTAGCTGGGTCCACCATCACATGCCCCATCTTCTGGTTGCGCTTCAGTTTGGGTTCCTCGGAGAAGGAGTCTGGTTGGCCCAGATCACATTTTCCACCAGCCATTTTATAGTTCAGTGACCAATCAGTGGGCTGCATGGGGTCATGTGCCACCTCTTATCCAATCAGCAATCACCAGGAGGAAACAGGGTCAACTGGTGTGAAACATGGCTGCCTGAGACGGAGGCACTTTCGCGAGCGGTGGAGCTGAGGATCGCCAGGTACTGACACACACAGCAGACAGATTTCCAAGCATGAACTCATGCTTTCCCTTGAAGCTGGGGCCTCCCCTCACTCTCCTGGAGCTCAGAGAGGAACACTTCCATCCATCCCGTTGGCTCAGGTCAGCAACCTGGGAGTCACCATGGATTCTTCCTCTTCTTTCCTTGCTCTTCTTGCCAGTAACCAGGTTCTGTACCTCTGGAGTCCATCCTCCCGCCACATCTCCACTGCCACCAACCTAGTCCAGGCCACTGTTGGACCAAGGTAGTCTCTGTCCATTCTGACCCTTCTAGTTCATTCTCTTCCCTCCAACTAGAATAGTCATTTTTTGTTTGGTTTTTTTTTTTAAGATATATTTATTTATGCTTACAGAACTGGGATATAGGCCAGAAGTGCAGGGGTACTGAGAGGATTCACTAGAGACAGAGTGGGGAGCAGAACAGGCGGATCAAAGAAGTACACTGCTGAGGGGAGCAGCGGGCGGGTCAGGAGAGGTCTGCCGCGCCATGTGGGTCAGCTCCAGGGTTGGGGATCAAACTTGCACTGTAGCTGCAGCTTGCAGTGCTGTGCTGTAACCCACTGCGCCACCAGGAAGGGCCCAGAATAGTCATGCTCGTCCCCACCCATTGCTTACACCCAAATTAAACCCTCCAGGGACTACCCCTGTGCTCAGGACAAAAACTAACCTTCAAGCCTGCCCAGTCCACACTGCCCACCTTGCCAGCCTCATGCCACACCACTCCACTCACTCTCCGTGCTTCTTCCCAGTTCTTCTTCCTGTCTCAGCCCTTCTCAGTCCCTCCAGGCCACAGAGATGCTGCTTCTCCGAAGGCCGTTCATCCTTTAACCTGTCTCAAAAGTCACTTCTAGATCCTGCAGACAGGCCTTTTACCTTCACAGCCTATGATGCTTTGTGATTCCCCTATTTGCATGATTACTAGATTCACTTCTGTCTTCACACTGTCCAGAAAATCCACGTTGTCCACCAGTCGTATCATGTAGGACTCAGTAAACAGAGAGTGAGCAACAGGCCAGGGAAGCAGACACAATCCTGGCCTTATATTTTCTGATTACAGACTGAAATAAGACCAGAAACCTGCTTAATTATCAGGACAGGCACTATCAGTCCAGGCATATGTGGAAGCTCAGTGCTGATGCCTGGAATACTGAAAACTCATAAACATGCTGCAATTATTTTATTATTATTATTATTGTTGTTACGTATTATTTTTTATTATTACTATACAGAGCCTATTGCTTACCGAGCCATGGTGTATCTCTCAGAGCCTCTGGCTTCCCTCTGATGGAGGTACTGGTACTCTTGCTGGTGGATGAGCCCATGGAAGGTACAGAAGTCACATAGCCCTGGGCCTCACAGTTTCAGGGCCCACACTTTGCCTCAAAATGGTGTAGGGGAAAGATTGGGAAACAGGAGGTTAGTAGTTCCTCATCCCCGAGTCCCTTCTTGATTCTTGCTAATTCTTCTCCATGTTCTGACCCCTTAAGAACCTTCCATGTCAGAGCTTCTCTACGACCCAGCAATCCCACTCCTAGGTATCTACCCAAAAGACACAAAAACGCTGACTGAAAAAGATACCTGCACCCCCATGTTTATCACTGCTTTATTTACAATTGGAAAAACATGGAAGCAGCCCAAATGCCCAAAAGTAGATGACTGGATTAGAAAGATGTGGTACATATATACAATGGAATATTACTCAGCAACCAAAAAAGAGAAACACATGTCTTTTGCAGCAACTTGGATGGAGCTGGAAAAGATCATGCTTAGTGAGATAAGCCAGAAAGAGAAAGAAAAATACCGGATGGTTTCACTCATAGCAGGAGTATAATGGACCAGGCAAGAAAATAACAAGAATAATGAACAGTCATATACCAGAGACATGTTGTGGGGGTAGCGTGAGGAATGGGATCAAAAATGGGGGGGTGGGGAGGGAAGTGCACGGGATTATGGTGATGGCACAAGGGTGACTTGGTGATGGGAAACCCGCGGGGATTACGACTGAGATGGGGAAAAAAATGTACAAAATGATGTAAAAATAAATTGTTATATATATATAAAAAAAAAAAAAACCTTCCATGTCCTTGTCTATAAGCAAGTATAACCATAACTCCATCAGAGGCTACTTGACATATGCAGATGTCACAGTACACAGTTGGCACTCAATAATTGCAACATGTTATTGTTAGAGTTTTTAGAGAAAATGCTTTGTCATCTTTTTAGATGACATACTGAGTGTCCATGTCCTGAAGCCGCTCTAAAAATTTGCCCCAAATTTAGTGGCTTAACACAGACATTAAATCTCTCACAGTTCTATGTGACCACATTCTAGAATCAGCATCGCAACTGAAATCGAGTTGACAGCAGCAGGGTAGCTCTCCCTCCAGCTGCCTGGGGAGGAGTTTCTTGCATCTTCCCACCTCTGGTGGCTGCTGTGTTCCTTGGCTTGTGGCAGCATCCCTCTGGTTCTGTGGTTGCATCACTTTCTCTTCCAGGTGTGACGTTTCCCCTGAGCTCCCCTATGAGGATACATGCAGTCGTCTTTAGGTCCCCTAATGGTCTGTCCCCATGTAGGAGGCTTCGCTTGATCATGTCTTCAAAGGCCCTTTTCCCAAATAAGTTCACATGTACAGGCTGCAGGGATTAGGATCTAATATCTCTCCTTGTGGCCATTATTTCTCTTACTATCCAGAAACTGAAGTAGAAATAAGATGATCTGTCCCCAAAACACCCAGCTGATCCATGATTGATCTAGGTAAGAATTCAAGTCTTCCAAATCCTGTTGGGAGGTGATCCAGGTGCTGGAGTCGTG